CTCATAATACAGAGACGTGGTTTTTGGCTGCTAGTCTAGACTACCATCATCTTTTTCTCCTCTTCTGCCCTCAAGAGGATCGAGCTCGAATCCCAGACGGATCCCATTTCGTGACTGGCTATGCAAGTGTAAATAACTGTTCGTGGGTAGTCATGATAATCTACGGGGTTCGGTCATATTGCGGATCTTCACCCAAAATGATTGGCAAGTCTAGTACTATCAAAACACAGTACGCGGAATTCAATTACCTGAAATGCTATATGAGAAACATTAGATCCACGTGTCTTACTTTAGAATCTCCATCTTATGTACTTTCTTTTGGTTGCTGTGAGGTTGAATTCTGGTTTCGGTTAAGCGTGTTATAGCATCCATTTGGGACATTAGTAAAGAACTAACCAGTAGGATTTTACCACTAGACCAAAAACGAATCCGTACCCAGTCTAGTAGTTAGTAGTTTATGAGCAACTGCCGAAGTGATATGCAGGCTCGAACAACTACATATATCCGTGTACATACATGTACATGCAGGATGTATCACTTCCTGAAAACGCAATTAGAGCCTCGTCAAGGCCTGTCGTGGCCTAATTGCTGTTTGCATTATTAGACTTCCTTCGGATGTGGAATGTACGGTCTTAGCCCGTTACCTTGCCATTATCTTGGCCTGACCCAATGCCAATGCCCGTGAAGGAATCGACTCTCCAGGTGGCAGCGGTCGTGGGTCGGTCGTCTTCAGTTCATCCAATTTTTACAAGTTAATGGACTTCAAGGCTTCTGTAGGTGAGAAACGAGTATACTATTCGACATTGTTCCTGCTTTTCTGGGCTCGCGATAATGCACTCTAAATGAGATGGTCACGATGTAGAGTGTGGAGCCTTGGGATGTTGTTCTGCGCCCGATGGAGGAGACGCAGGTGTGTGGGAATCGATAATATGTGTCTCCTCTTCTAAGGTCGTGGCAGCACCATCCTGAATACTGACAGGATACGTATCGGCGAGGTCCTCTGGGCTGTGTTCAAGTGTCGCAAGTGACACTTATCCCGTAGTGAGTCATGTCAGACCGTCGACACGTAGTCCGCGACCAGCGTCACGCACGATTGGTAGGGCTGTCTCATCTGTTCTGGGCGTAGCTGCCATACTGGCCAGCGGAAATAGTTGTCACTGAAGGCTGATGCGGCACCGCGGATGGTGACCAGGTTGGAGTTGAAGAATCCAATAAACACCAGTCCAATCATCATCAATGACAGGGGCGAGCCATGCGCTAGCCCCGTATTTGCCAGCGGTGTCACCTCCGTACAGAGGTCGTCGAATCCTATACTAGCATGGCGGTCGCTCATGAAGTTCGACATCCACTTTCTAGCCCCTGTTAAGATTCTCTTTGACCGGAGGCAGGCATTTAGGCTCGCGTTCTTGACACCATTGGAGGCTCCTATTAGATCGAATGCCACAAATGTCACTACATTGCGTTTGTACAACGCTTGGACGATCGCGTTGAAGCACTGTTGAAATGTATATTGTTTCGCTTCCGTCGCTATCGTCGTCCCTGTCCCTCAGCGACAGAACCAATCACGATGCGCTGATATACCAAAGGTTACCTCAATGTGACAAGTAGGGCTCCGAAAGGAATAAATGAATGCGAATATAGGGCATATCGAATATGAATAAATGAATATCGTATTCGCGCGAATAAGCGCATTATTCATATTCGCATTCATATTATTCATATCATGCATTTTGCGCGCATTAATTGTTCCTCCGTTTCCCCGGTTTTTGTATTACCGGAATACACGTTTCCACTAGTCAACTTGTATTTCAAGTGCCCATCACGGCCTCGGTCAAGCAGAAGTAGGAAATATTCCCCATGGAAACCAAGTTCTAGAAGACTATATCCTTTACTGTAGGGCTCGGTAAGGTCTACGTAGTTTGTGTGGTCACTTTCAGTGTATTATTATCGGTAAGTGTCTATTTTTGGTAACCAGAAAGGTTGCTACAGAAAGTGGAGCGAAATAATATATATCTATAAGACGTCTTCCTACATCTTTGCTGCTCCAATTAAACCGACTACCATAACTTTACTTATTCTCGCCCGTTCTACTTCAAATTTGAGATGTGATATAACTATGACCATTGGCACGTAAAACCCGTTTATCATGCCACTTTAAGTCACTTATCACCCAGGTCACAGATTGTTTACCATGAGAATCGCGTGTGAGAAACCGCCGCGTGAAAAGAAAAGACCTATCAACTTTCCATTTTGATGGGATTGCATAAGGCGAAATCGCAGTTGAGATTTCTCCGTAATTGTTTAATTCTCACTTTTCATTCCCAACCCGCGAGGCTACCGAGTATTGTCGAGTGATACTGAAGGTGTGCCATGCCTCGCTCCCAGGTACCGCTTGGACTACTGACACTGGACAAATACAGAATGGCATCGTGCGAAAGACGCGTGGTTTTCCACGTCGCGACTACAATGATCTGAATAACGGCATGCTCTCCCTACTCCCTGAACCATGGGAAGGAAACATCCGTGAAATGGAGAGCCCCCACAGCCATCACAGAGGACGCATCTCTCGGACATTGATAGAAATCTAGACGCGCCACCAATGAGTTGGTCCCATCGTATGATTGACGATGCAAGCGAAGAATGGGCTCTCAAGTAGTGGAAGGCGAATGTATTCACTTTTCTACTCACGGCAAAGGCAGCCTAGGATTGCCTGCCAGTTTCATCAGCGGACTTAGGGATTGAACGCGAGTCCAGCAAAGCCAGAGATGTATTGGGGCTCATGAGACACTGTCTGAATGCGGAGACTATGCGGTGGCTTATGATATTGAAGAACAGCATCAAAATATATTTCCAGGCTAGTGATTGTGATAATATTCAGATTCAAGGGGACTTAATATCTCAAGGGTGGTAAATTGTATGTAATGGAGTCTAAGCCCATGAATTATGGTTCTTGTATTGCGATGTAACAACATGAACGGTAATGTATGCTCTCTCCGCATATGAATTAATATGAATTAATATGAATTATTCATATATTCATGAATATTGCGAATATGAATATGTTGAGATAGGTAGTTGTAATGTTCTTGTTGAGGTTGCTATCAAAAGTGGGAACCCCGTCTATTTAAATGTCGATCGCTAGTCCTGCCATAAGCTTTGACCACCGCGATACTCAACACCGTCTGCCAATATCTTCAGCCGGAGCCGGGACAGGAACCACGTCTATTCTCGTCTGTGGCTGAATTAGAAGGGCTTGGCCGTCGATTTGCTCGCAAACCACTTATTAGCGAGCAAGAACCTGAGGCCTACTGGCACGGCTGATTTAGGTCTCGGCACTCTGGATTTTCCTGTCGTACCAATATTAGAGATTCAGCCGCGCCAAAACCCATAGTAAAAAAAGACGACCGGCGGAGACTTGTTTGTGCTTCCAAGAACACTGTGACCTTTGGCCTCTTCCACAATAGATTGGTAGTATCGTGCTGATACATTCGCTGGTTATTCTCAGATAACTACCTTTGACGATGTACAGGTGGTGAATGGTGTCAGAAAGTTGATGTCAACGTTTACACCAACGTTGAGCATAAAAACCACTGCACACCAACAGCATGTGAGTTTTTCGCCCACAGAAAATATATACTCGAGCTATGTTAGTTATCTATGTTGTGATATGAGGCTGGTGAAAAGCAGGATCCAGTCTATGCAAAGAACCAAGTTGGTTGGAAATCGACTTGGTCTTCGTGGTGTATATATATAACCTCATGCTTATTTAAGTACGCCAAGCCCATTACGGCGGACACCACCAATGATGGTCTAGGGGCAGTGTATGGTGAAGGTGTCGGAGTATGACGACCGGCATACCGGAGGATTTATTAATCCTGCATATTTTGTAATTAATGTTATGTAATCAGGGCTCCATATAAATTGTAAGAAGAGCCGATACAGAAATACAGAGTTGAATACCACTGATTGGACCCCTACATTTACAATACGCCCCAATCCGACAGAAGGCAAGTGCCTCAGGTGTCTTAAAGAGTATGATCCCTTCCATTTATACACCAGGTTATGGGTGAGGCTAATGTCCCTTGAGTCTGGACGGCAGAGTTCTGTGGGTGTATTTCTTTGAGGAACACACGAAGAACACTTATACTTGTTCCGAAATTCTAGTATGCCACGAAAAGATTCTAGGTCTGGAATATCAGTTTGAAAAAAAAGTCTTTGGAGCGACGATTTAGCACGAGGCTTCCTCAGAGAGCAGTGCACCGGTGGGTTGGCCGGTGGGCCTTAGCAGACGAGAGGTGGTGACTCAACCAGAAGATCCACTTGTAGACGGCGGGGTCAGCATCGTCCTCGACGGAACGCCGCTTGGGGCGCTGCCTAGGCTCCAGCGCCTTCGCAAGCGGCGTGAAAAAAAGTGATCCATGGATAATAACAGGTGGTATTGAGACCGCGCGAGATCTGTGTGGATGTGTGGCTTCTTGTAATGCAATGGAACTTCACTGAAAGACACCGCAAATTCGGAGTGGGATTCGAGGGAGTTGAACAGAAGGAGTGAGAGCCAGCGCCCCAAACGAAACTGGTGATCAGGCTGAAACTGATCGGCCCCACGTCCTCCACTTGCGTCATGCAATACTTAAGTTGATATGTGCTCGGGATTTGGAGACTGTTCAGTTGAAGTTGTGAATTCTCAACAAACAGTATTTGCAATAGTGTAAACAGGTAATTACACCAGATTCCAAGTTATCAAAGTGTGGCGATGTGTGACGTCATCGCCAGTCAACCAGTTTGACATCTTCGTGCCAGGTCTGGTTTTCCAATATAGATAGATACTCGTGAGCCGGTTTTGTCAAGTCTATTGAAGTTCCCCATAGTGGGCGGAAACGTCACTTAAGCATCATAAATATTTTTTAGTATCTGGACAAAATTTGTATATAACAATGGATCAGTTAGACGTACCCTGTCTTAAGTTTACCTGACGTTTTTTTCCTATAGTAACTATCACAATGGCCAACGCTCAAAAGTCTTTCAAGCTTTCTACTGGTGCTGAGATCCCTGCAATTGGTCTGGGAACCTGGCAGGATGAGGCTGCCCAGGAGGCAGCAGTTCTTGTAGCTCTTCAGGCAGGATATCGCCACATTGACACAGCAAGGTGGTAAGTAAATACACAGCCTGGGTGAAATACGGAAGCTGACTCTTATAGCTATGGTACTGAGACCGCTGTCGGCAAAGCCATAAAGCAAAGTGGCGTGCCCCGGAGCGAAATCTTTGTTACAAGCAAGCTGTGGAACAACAAGCACTACCCAGATGATGTAGAGCAAGCATTACAGATGACTCTGGATGATCTGGGTCTGGAGTATCTTGATCTTTTCTTGATGCATTGGCCTGTTGCCTTCAAACGCGGAGATGATCCGTTCCCATCCGACAAAGACGGGAATCTGATAACTGATGATATAGACTATGTTGATGTATGTCGCTCCTATTTGAAGCTCACGTCGGGATTTCCTACTGACCTTCGAAGACTTACAAAGCTATGGAAGGCTTGGTGAAGTCGGGTAAAGCCAAGGCCATCGGAATTGCCAACTTCTCTCGAAAGGAAGTCGAGCGCCTCCTTGCAAATGCGACCATTAAACCAGCAGTACACCAGATGGAGCTACACCCATGGCTTCAACAGGAGGAGTTTCATAAGTTCCACCAGGCGCAGGGCATTCATGTGACGCAGTATTCGCCGTTTGGAAACCAGAATGAGATCTATGGATCCCGCGAGAAGCACGGTCAGCTGGTCAATGACAAGACATTAGTCGAAATTGGAAAAAAGTATGGAAAAACTTCCAATCAAGTCGCCCTAGGTATGTTCTGCCCTACTTCTCGATGGTTATCAAATTAATATTGATCGCAGCTTGGGGTATCGCACATGGCCGTTCTGTCATTCCTAAATCAAAGTCCCCAGAGCGAATCATGCAGAACTTCGATATCGCCTTCGAGCTTGCCCCGACAGATATCCAGAAGATTGATTCTATCCACAAGAAGTTGCGTTTCAATGATTCGAGCAAAGATTTTGGTTATGAACTCTTCACAGACCTTGACGGCAAGCAAAAGTGAAACACCTGGAGAAGAACTCATACTGTATTCTAAATGGTAATTAGGTTTGGTTATCAGAGCTTTGGCCAATTCTTGTTTCCGATATTATGAATCTTCGTATATCTGAACAATAGCCAATCCCTTTTGCCTTGTTCTTAATTGAGTTAACCTGTCATTACCTCGGCAAAGGAGGCTTACAAAGTTATTTTATGTAGTGTAGATCTTTTATACCCATGAAGCGTTCTTCAGCATAGGAGGTCTTCATCCGAATGAAAACTAATTCCATTCATCACTTACTAAGGGAAGAATCCACCCGTCCTACAGTTTAGGCTGCGGCACATCCGCATTTGCGGAGGGTGGGTACCTTAGGGTCCGCTAGCATGATTCTCGCCGATTTAACCCAATATAGTAAGTGTTTTACTTCTTCGCAGTATAAAGCCGCTTATAAATTATGAATAAATTAACTATGTAATATGTGTCGATTCGGAGGATTACAGTACGCGCTTGTATCCAAATGGACCATTTAGGTGATGCGGACTGGAATTGAGATGTCTCTTCTGACTAGCCGTGCCAAGCGCCCAACACCAGGTCCCCTGGTGTTGGTGCGCCCCACCAGATACCAGATTTTCACCAGATACCAGATTTGCAATTTGTCAACGCACTAAAATACTATTTACATGCCACCACCACGGCTATCCACGTAGTAATTACTACCATAGCTAAATTTAGCTGCCATTGAAGCTTCACGCTCAGTTTCAGCTAAATCCCTTGCTTCTTGGGCCCGTTGTTGCACTTCCAAAGCCTTGGCCTGCTTTGCCTGTAGCCGCTGCAACTTCTTAGCATCCACGTCCTGTCTTTTTACCATCATCCTATTTGCGCAGATAGGTGATAGCACATTGCCTTTAGTCCCAAGAAGTGATTTCCTATTTTTAGGCCGATTTGTAGTTGATTTGTGGGCGGCCTGGGACTTCTTCAAAGCAGCCTTCACCAAATCCAGCTCTTGGGTTAAAAGCGTATTTGCATCCATGCTTCGTTGGATATGCCTTTTTATACCCCCAGATATATGCTCGATTTTCTCTAGATCATTAATAAGCTTAGTATTAAGCTTATTAACCCGCTTGATTGTATCTGGCGGCGAGTTGGTAATAGAACTAGAGATATCTGGGGGGGGGGTGATGGCGTGAAAAACCGAAGGGGGGACCCTTCGAGGTCTAAATAGCTTTGGCGGAGAGGCTAAGAATCACCTCTGGATCTAGGGGCCAGATTCCCCTAGATCTAAATGAAGATCGGATGGTTCTTTGGGTTAAAGATTCATCTAACCTCCTGGATAATCCGGAAAAAATCCCGTTTTTGGCTTGCACTTCCACCCCACATAACGATCTCGTTATTCATCGTACGGAAGTGATGTTTAACGCTTTGAAAGGCCTGGCCATCGAGCGGTTGACAAAGGTGGGTTGTATGGGGTATAAAATAGAACGGAATGATGTTCTTTTGGGTGCAAAAATGGACAAATTCGAAGATAAGGTGAGAACCATGATTATCCATTAAAAGAAGCCGTGGCCTACCCCTTTTTACTAAATTAATAGTAGCTTCGTGGAAGGATAAAAGCCATTCGAATGCAGTTTCATCATCAATAAAGCCTTTAGGGGTAGGTTTAATCCGGAAATCAGTGGTAGTGATATTCTCATACCACTCCTCCATATGAGAATTACCCTTAGGTAGAAACCAAGGTAGCATCAACCAGCCATCTGCAGAGATGCATTCAATGCTAGTAATTGATTCCGATTGGCCTCCACTAGCGATACCACTAGTAGAACGAGAGGTAATAACCTTTCGTTGCTTGCCTTCGCCGATTCGGTAGCCGGTTTCATCCCAATTAAAGATCTCATTTGGAAGAAATTGATGCTGGTTTATAAGCTCAGTAAGCCTATTAAACCAGAGAAATAAAGCACCATAGTCTTCACTATCTACCCTTGCTTTTTCTTTAGGTTTTTGGGTGATATAGTTTAGATCTGGGGGTAGTCTTTTGATGAAGCGGTACACCCAGTTATGGCCCACGATCCGATCTTCACCAGCCTTTTTTAAGATCGAATTAGCGGCACATTCTACCATTTCTGGGGTAGGTGAGGTATGCGCATTATCTAGAACTTTAACCCAATTAACAAGTGCCTTTTCTTGAATTGGATTTAATGCCTTCGATATTTTAGCACGGTCGGCACAAGAGACACGGCCACGAATCCGGCCCCGAAGACGATCAGTTGAAACCCCAAATTGACGGGCTAACCCGGCGATATTAGGCTTAGTAGATTGATGGTATGCTTTGACGGCATCCTGGATTCGATCCTCGATATTTTCAATTGAATTTGACATGGTGGTGTAGTAAAAAAATGTATGGGAAGTGAATACAATGATGAAAATCTGGTATCTGGTGGGGCGCACCAACACCAGGGGCCCTGGTGTTGGGCGCTTGGCACGGCTACTAGGAAGGTTATAGATATATATATTTTAAAGGTGTGGGTCCGAAAATCGATTTAGGGAAATACTTTTGACTAATTAGTATATGAGGTATCCCGCCCCCCCTGTAAAAGATAACTCCAAAAGTTAATAAGAATCAACCAGACAATCATTTTATCTCCACACACTTATTCCTTCGGAGCTACATACCTCTTAGAAACATTTCATCGGCCTTCCGGATAGGTTCCCGACTCCGAGCTCGAGGTTTAGAGATGCTTTGAAATCGGATGCAACCTCACTTGGCCACAATAAGGGTCAACGCATTCAGTATCTGATCTCATTCCACTATGAATCATGGATTATTTATGAGTCTCCTGTTCGTTTATAATCAAACTCAATTCTATTACCTGACATGCCGATCAAAGTCTATTTGGGCGCTTGGCTTAGCTTCGGTAGGGTAGCTTCAAGCCGTTGACCCGGTCCCGGCCACCGGGTCCGAGTTATTACCGTGGCTAATTGTCACATGCTATTTCGGTAATACGAACATCAATGTACCGGATAAAGTGTTAATACGGGGGAAATGAATAATGTCAATTATACGAATATGAATACTGCGTTTATTCAAGTGAGTAAAAAACCATTTAAACTTCGTATTTGTGTTCCACGAATATGAATATGGCGAATATCCGCACTTATTTATTCCTGTCGGAGCCCCAGGCAAGGACCAACTTCACTGGATATTTAAGGCTCCCAGTGGCAATGGTAGACAGGCGCGAAAGAGACTCGATGCCCCTGAAGGGTAATGCGCTACAGTGGTAGTTTACAAAGCGTTTGCTGATGACGCTGGTAGACGAATTAGGAGATTAGGCCTGACTGGCAAATAAGGCAACTGCGTTTACACGGGTACTAGTACCCGACCGAGGTATATGATATTGCTATCGTTCCAACTTTGCAAACTATTTTAATCATTCAATTGTCATTTACCGACCGAAAGGTTTCACCTAGAGACATAAATACATCCGCCAGTGGCACAGGGGCTGCGATAGTAATATTCAGTCTTTCGCTGTTCCATTCCCAACATGTCAACAACTTCTCAATCGGACAGTGTTGCCAGTGCACGCTTAGCTCGACTGGCTCAACTAGGCACTGAACTACACGCAAACAGCCCGGAGACAGCCGTTTGGCTTGCACTGGAACAGACATTAGCCGACTTCTTTGGACATTCTTTATTCACTGTCCTTGCATTTTCGGAACAAGGTGTTACAAGACTTCACAGCACCAATACAGAGCTGCACCCGATGGGAACAAGAAATAAGTCCCCCGCTACGGATCATGACAAAGAGAACGTTGGAACTCCACCTCCACCACCCTGCCGCGCAGCGTGGGTCCAGCAGGTTTTGGTGGATGGCAATATTTGGCGTGGGTCCGTGCGCGAGGATCTAAAGGCAGCATTTGAAGACTGGGAGCAACTTTGGCAGGCGGGTTTGGGATCAGTGATGAACATTCCTGTCCGTCTTAATGGTGTCACGATAGGATCTCTCAACCTTCTTGACAAGGAGCATGGGTACGATGCAGCCGATCTCAAGCTGGGCATCCTGATAGCACAAATCGTGGCATGTTTTGTTCATCGAGTGGCTGAAGAGACAGCGAAGTGAGTATTGAGACTGTATTCATATGCAAAGCTTTTTATCGTGGAAAGTATCAAAGGCATTATCAAGGAGCAAATAGTCGACAAGACACACAGACAATGTCCCTCAAATCTTGATTTATAAGTCACTACATGGTACCTGTCTTTGGATCGGAGCGGTAAAATGAGAGAATTCGAAATCATAGATAGTCTGACGAGGCTTAAAGTGAAAGATGCCGCGATGCGGACTGGGTGATGAGATATTCATGTTACTGTGTGCATGAAGACTTCAGATTAAAGAACTATAGATTGTCCGGATCCTCATAATATCACTCTTTTTCAATGCTCCTGGATCTTATAGGAAGTAGCGGATGCTCTTATTCTCCCAATCGGTCTCATCTAGGTCGATTTGAGCTGCATTGTCTTCGATAGCTTGTCCACTTAAGCTGGCCTCAGCGCCAAACCGTTGATCGCGCCTCTTGTTCCATCTCGCCATCAGCTGTCTCATGATCATAATGATTGCGACATTAAGAACGAAGCAGGCAATCATGATGTTGAACGCAGTCTGAAAATATTAGCCTGCACTCATCTTATACTTGCAACGGAACGGAATAAGCCACTTGGAACTCACCTGATAAGTTGGAGCTTCTCGCGGCAAAAAGGTCAGTGGGCCGACAATATATCCTATACAGAAGCCAACAAATAGCATTCCATTGACTGTCGCTTTCTTGGTATGTCCAGTGATGTTGCTGGACACGAGACTGAGGATTGTAGGAAAGGCACTAGCGTAAGCGCTGATCAACCATAGTCCACCAAGGCGACTTAGGTTGTGGGACTCTGGGAGTAGTTTGATCATCAAGGCTCCTGCCAGGGATATGATGTTGAGCAGAGCGATAGACACGCATCGAGCGTTCTTGAAAGTTATTGATACAATCACAGTGAAGGCGACATAAAACAGGAGGAAAGCGCCTTGTGACATGGTGAGAAGTTGGGTCTGCAAGACGCTGTAACCGAAGCTCTTCAAGATAATGCTTCCAAACTTCAAAATTGTCTGATTAGCAGTGGGTTGGTTGAATGTGCGGGCTGGATTGGAAAGGTAGAAGATGCATCTGATCATGCTGTAGTAACATACCGCCGTCAAGCCACCACCAGGGAGAGTCGTAAATATGCAAAGTAAGAAGAACAGCCAGGACCGAGGATCCATAAGCGCTTCCATCATCTGCCCATGGTTCCATTTTCTGGTCTCGGCTGAGTGTCTCGCACCTTGCACACGGGCAAAAGCCAACTTTCTTTCCCTTTCATTGAGAAACCATGCGGTTTGAGGGTTGTTAGGCAAAAGCCACAGAAGAAGGAGTCCCCAAAGAAAGGTAGCGGCCCCGAAGATGATGAACAGGAGCTAGAATGACAGGTTAGCTACGGACTGAAGCGGCATTTGGCTACCACCACTCAAGAGCTTACATACCTGCCAGTTTTTGACCACACTGTGAATATGGGATATGGCATATGCAAGAATACCACCAAAAATGTAGGCGACGCTGGCTCCTCCGTACCATAAACCATGCCGCAGAGCATGCTCGGATGGTTTATACCACGTAGATGTTATGATCGTAAGACCCGGGTTCACTGCAGCCTCAAAAGCCCCCAACAAGACGCGCAGGGCAGCAAGACTCCCAAAGTCATTACCACCAGCCATACACATCTGTATACTCGCCCATATCAGCCTAGCATATATCCAACAGTGTTAACTCTCCGAGGTATCCGATCGGTTTTGGAAGGGCAAACGTACACCGAAACTACTACGACTTTCGCCACCGGGAACTTCACTAACAGGATTGAAGCCAGGGGGCTGGCTGCGAGAAATCCCACGTAGAAGAAGCTGGATACCCAAGAATACTGCGTCCCTACAAGTTTCTGCGACAATTCGATTATTGGTCATTGGTTCTATTAGTCTGAGTTGCAGGTAGACTTACCGCATCCTCTATGATACCCATGATTGCGGTATAGCCAAGAGATGTCTTATCGAGATATTGCAACAGATACAGGATAGACATGAGCGGAATCAAGCTGTTTTCGATATCAATCCCGTCAATACGGCTATGGAATGTTGCACTGTGCGCTAATCACTTACTGTAAGTCAATTTTCCGGACGAGCTTGCGCTCCTCAGCAGCGGTCATGACCAAGTTTGATTCTGCCTCTCCTGTACTGGCATGCAAAGTTGCGAAATCCATTGAGGGCTTTGCCTCTGCCATGAAATCTTCCTTTTCATTTGGCGCCATAGTGAAGGGCGAGCGAATGCAGTTGACACGGTACGAGTTTCTTCGAGTTGGACGTTCCAAAGTACCGTGAACGTAGGTGATCCTCGAGCAGGAATTGTCTTGCACTTTATACATCATCACTCCAGGTCATGCTTCATGATAAACAGGCATTGGTGTTCAGTGACCAATAGAATGAATGATAAATATCTTGTACCACTCAGCCAGCCCTTGATTGTTATCATCGGAGTACTCAGCGGGTACGTGTACCCGTGATTACCCCAGTTGTTTCACTATCTTTCTGGGGAAAGACAGTGACCGGGTACTTGTACCCGACTAGCAGCAACTTTATTTCGCCACGCGACGGCGGACATCGTGTGCTACGAGACGTTTACGTGCCGACGAACAAATTTCCCCGCACTGGATGGGTACAAGTACCCGAAGCAAAGGTTATCTACCCAGCTTTCTACTGCCGTTTGCGGAGTCGTTTACTCATCGCAGGCCGAAAACGTCTGAAGCCTTTTTCTTTTCCGGGTGCCCCGCCCCAACTCAACATTTCTCAACCCATTTCTTTTCCTGCAGACACTAAAATTTGAATTAAAGAGGCTACAATGACAGCAAAGACGCCCCCCATGATATCTGACGACGCTACTATTCCTTGGAACCTCCCTCTGCGGCCAAGATACGTTTTTTCAGGAGCCAATCTCGTTGACCCGGCAAAAGGCCAGGTGTTGGAAAACGTGACAGTCCATCTTTACGACGGCGTTGTGAAGTCTGTCAATGGCAATCCTAAGGAATGGATGGATGACTCTACCACGATAAAGGTCGATTTGGAGGGCAAGTTCGTCTGCCCTGGTTTGATAGACTGCCATGTTCATTTGACGGCAGTTCCTGGAAAGATGGGACTTGAAGAGATGAAGAATATGAACCCATCCGTTTCACTCTTACGCCAGCCACAGGTCTGCAGGTCCATGTTGGAGAGGGGCTTCACAACCGTGAGAGATTGTGGAGGTGCACTGTTTCCTTTAAAACAGGCCATCGAGGAGAATGTGCACCCAGGTCCAAGACTGTTCATTGCCGGACACGCATTGTCACAGACGGGAGGGCACGGAGATATGCGTGGACTACTAGATAACCACGAATGCTGCAGCGGAACGACGCAAGGTGTCGGTCGAGTCATCGATGGGGTGCCCGATTGCCTGAAGTACGCCCGGGAGGAGATTCGCCAGGGAGCAGACTTTCTCAAGATTATGGGCGGCGGAGGAGTGGCCAGTCCGACAGACAAGATCGAAAATATTCAATTTTCGGACGAAGAAATCAAGGCTATTGTGACAGTCGCATCAAACGCAGGCACATATGTGACCACGCATGCCTACACACCCCAAGCTATTCAGCAAGCAATTAGACAAGGAGTGCTGGGAGTTGAGCACGGCAATCTACTCGACGAAGAAACTGCAAAGCTTATGGCCGAGAAAGGAGCTTTTCTCACGCCGACACTCATCACATACGCCACGATGGCAAGATTCGAGGGTTTTCTTCCTCCAGCCTCAGCCAAGAAGAACAAAGAGGTGTTGGAGAAAGGATTGAACGCTATTAAGATTGCCATCGATGCTGGCGTGACCGTTTGTTTCGGGACGGACCTACTTGGCAAGCTACACTTCGCGCAGTCGCGAGAGTTTGGTTTGCGGCGTCAAGTTCAAACTTCCCTGGAAGTCTTGCGTAGCGCTACGGTCAACGCTGCCCGAATGCTCCGACAAGACAAGTTCTTAGGCCAGATCGCCCCGGGCTTCGCAGCTGACATGTTGATATTGAACGCGAATCCGTTGGAAGACATCACCATTTTGGACATACCCGAGAAACATGTGCTAGCAACGATCAAGGATGGTCGCGTTCATACGTCGAGATGGTCAAAGCTTGAGACCGATCTGCATCGGATTGTCAATATCGCTTAGCGATAAACTTGAAATTAAATATTGCTGCGTACAAATGTCATCTTAGTGTCTGCAATATCTAATCTGATTTTTCCAAATTGTGAGAGTAAAAGACCCAAGACTATTTATTCCCTTAAGGTCTTCGGCTTCTTGTCGTGCCATGGATACAATCCTGTCACTTATAGGCAGATAGGGGGTAAACATCGGCTTGTACCTCTACAAAAACCCGCCAAAAACCTGCAAAATCAAACGCGCCCACGAAAAACCGACCCATGGGCCGGATCTTTGTCGGTGGACCTGCTGCATATCCCGGTGACTGAAAAGATGATTGAGGTTGGGGGCAGGTGCATACATAATATTGACAGCCCATCTGCATCATTCCATCAGATGGTATTTCTCATATTAAAATGATGCCAAAAATAGAGTACCAAAAACACCAGTGCTGACACTACTGCACTTAAATGCACTGATGTTTCCGCTAATCCAGATACCCGTGGACGGCCAAGGGAAAATGAAAACCCGACCCAACCCCGCATTTGGCGAGGTGTGTAGCTCACATTTTATTGCAAGTATATGATGACCAAGTATCAGGTGACCAAGCTAGATTACCTAATCAGAATCCCTATAACGTTATTGGCGTCATTCACTTATCATAGCTCCTCTCGCAACGTCAAATACTAGACCACCAATAATTCCTGTCACAACGATTTGCTCGTCGTCCTTTCCTTATCAAGTATCCAATGAACCGCATTGATACTCCATTATAGTCCATTATATCTTGATGCCGCACTGGTCTGGTCGTCACACTGACCAGATCGACCAGGTCTACCATGCCTCCACCAACACGCCCATCAAAGAGACACCGCCCGCACGTTCCTTTAGATAAGCGTAAGAGGGCCATACGGGCATGCATCACTTGTCGGGATGGCAAGAAGAAGTGCATTCTGACTTCTGCAAATCAGTGCCAAAGTTGCACTCGCGCCGGCCAGGTCTGCATTTTCGAACCGAAACCCACAAACCGGGAGGATGCACTCTTCCAGGAATCACTGAAATGGAACAAGTCAGCCAATCTTCTAACTATCCTAACTAATCAACTCGTGTGGAGAGTGCGTTCACTAATATTTTACCACGTAGCCCAGTTTGGGAGGCGGTAGCGATGGATGTCTCTCGGAGCTTCCATGAAAGATTCCCCGGAGTCGAATTGGATTCTGAAAAGTTTTCAGTAGTCTTAAAGCTCTTCCAGGAGGCTGTTCAAAGGAATGAACAGGGCTTGCTCCCCGAGACCAATAGTGCTGGCGGGGAATCACTCACTTCAACTCATCAGATTTCTCCGTCTAGAGTCAATATGGAGTCTCAATCCATTGGTCCATCAGCTACAGAAATGGTCGGTATGTATAGATGAAGGATTTTCCTGCCAACTCAAATTATATGCTGATAGAGTTGACAGATAGTTCGCCTTCGGCATCTCATGCCAGCTTTCTAGCGGCAGTCTCTGACACAATCGCATCAGTACATATCAAAGCCCAAGATGTAATTGACGCTCATCACCTTGTGACCTCAAACCTTGCTTTAGGATGTTCTGGCTAACTTTTTACAGAGTCCTGTACACCTAAGCAGTCTTGCCCAAGAAGAGGACGATTCTGTGCTTAACACCATTCTCAACCATCTTCCACCCTACGAAGATGCCCAAGTCCTTGTTGACGTGTTCTTCACGTTCCTCGAGTCCAACTGGTACTATTTTGACGAAAAGTGGTTTCGCAATTTGCTCACAGAGATGTACATGAACAAAGCTTGTGCAACGCAGCAGAAGAAATGTACCACCATTTGTCTTGTGTTCCTCGTCTTGGGTCTTGGGAGTACGTTTGAGCATCTATCCAGGGCGGTCAACCTGCTCAATACCGACCGAGGGATTCCAGGTAGCACGTTATTCGTGCAAGCCACAAAGCTTATGCCGAGAGTGATTGCGGCTAACTCAGTCGAGAGTGCAATATGCTGTCTTTTGACATCGTTGTACCTTCTTGCAACTGAGGACATACCTCACCACCATATATACCTGGGGCTGGCTTTGAATTTGGCCGTCGGTCTCTGGTTGCATCGTACGGAAATAGGAAACCACGAGACACCTCGAGCTCATGAGATGAAAGTCCGACTATTTTGGACCATCTATAGCATTGAACGGTAAGACCAGTAGCGCCAGTCCCAAAATTGCTTGAAACTAACAGCATATCTAGTCAAACATCTGTCATTATGGGGCTTCCAACCATGCTACAACTAAAAGACATTACAGTCTCCCTCCCGCAAAAGCGACAGGACCTCGATCAAACCGGCTCTCAGCGAGCGGATCGCCTCGTCGCATTCATCACGCTAACAATGGTAATGGATGAAATCATCAACGCCGGGTACGTAGGAGAGACACCCGACCTCACGATAGATCTCGCAATTTCTAACGTAGGCACATAGCCCCATTGAACAAAGCTCTACGACCTATGAATGGGCTTGCTGCAAGCTGGAATCTTGGAAAAAATCAGTTCCGGCTCACTTCCTGTTAGCCCAAGAGTCTACATTTCGAGCTAATGCTCATCTTGATATCGTGTACAACATGATTTGGGTCAACATCGGCCGCGGAGCTACACTACGTCTTGTTCGCAGACGACTGTATCCTATAATGGCTGACTCGAGAAGCTCGGAGTGCGATAAGATATATCTCCGATCACAGAAACTGGCAGAACGATGCAAAGAGTCGGCCATAATAGTCGTTAACTGGATTGGTCAGCTGCACAGTCGTAACCTGCTCGCCACATTCTCCTTTACAGACATTCACACTTGCAGCTCGGCTGTCATCGTACTCCTTTTGCACGTTTTACTCCGACCTAGCTATCATCAATTGTTGCCTATCTCTTGTGGCATAGAGGCCCTGGGCTTTATGGCAAACGGCAGTACGTTGGCAATGAACGCACTGCGACTTGTTGAACGCCTGCAAGAAGGAGTTTATAAGGCTACTGGCATGGCTGGTAGAGACGGTATTCTTGACCAGCAGCTATCATCCCTGGCAACCCCTGACCAGAACTCATCGCCAAGCGATACCCTAAATCTTGCCAGGGACTTTCCACACGTTGCTGCTGCGAATGATACTTCTTATTACAACACCGCCCCTGATATTGCCCCTTTTGACCTGAATCTGCTCGCTGACCTTGACCCGTCGCTGCTCGAATATTCTGAACAATACCTGACGCTATTCGGGTTCGACGGCTTTGATTCTACGTTTGATCCGAATTTTTCGATGTAGGATAGAATTCTCTTCTGATATCGAAAAAATAGTATCTATCCGGAATATCATATCCACGTTGCAAGAACAAACATCAGCAGCTGCAGTAAAGGTGCCCAAAAACGTTGCGACTGATGCTCCGAGGGTTCCACCACTGCCACGCTTTAGATGACTGGACTCCAGACATGAATATGTAGCCTGCAGTAGTATGGAATACTATAGAGAGGTACGAATCCTTACTGATATATCTAAGCGCTATTAGCAGAGTGCGTGAACTGCTCAAAGGGGCATTGATTCCTGGGAGGTCGAGCGCGGTCAATGAAAGCTGGCAATCGCGACTTGTTATTCAGGACCAGGGGCACCACGTCGAGGCGACACCAATGCCATATACGCCGCAATTTCACAGGTTCGCACTAATAATTGTCTAGATGTACCAATTTAGTGATACGTTACTGGCACACTTGGGCGCGGTTTGCGAACTGCAAGCATCCACCTGGGGATATCCATATCATAGCTTAGCCTGCCTTAAGTTTCATGTGTTCTTTAAAACTTGTTGGGTCACGCTTGACTTCCTTTTCAATCTATTAATAACGATACAAATAGAATTTGTTTTATTTCTACTCATTTCAACACTGTTTGATATTGGTTTTAGATACTTGCGTCTCGAGATAATAGGTGTTCTGGGGGTTTTCTTCGTCTCCAATACCTATTCCTAAAGGGCATCTAAGACGCTTCATGGACTAATACAAAGGGGTTTCAGCCTTCCGAGGAATGGAGCCGAGTTGGGATTACCAGATTTGCTATTCGTCGTGACTTAAATCACACTATATCCGATACTTTCATTACAGGCAATGAAGACGTCGATATTGAGGGATGTTCCAATAATTTATTGTAGCAATATATTGAGAGTCGATTAGGCATCGTCTTTGTGAGATTTTTGCAGCCTGGATAATGCCTTGTTCTTGGTTGACAAGAAGATTAGCGAAATGCTGCCCAAGCCTGGAATATACCGGCAGCCGCTGTGAGAGTTCCGCTGGCTTTTACTCCTCTGCGAAGATACCAAGCAGAGCTAGACCATGCAATAAGGACAAGCAGGGCGGCCATGGTACGGCCTAGTGGATCTTCCAAAAACTTGGGGTTCTGTGCCCAATGGAGGTTAAGGAGAGCTAGAAGAGGATTTGTCAAAACTGAGGATCATTGCTTCGCAAGAGGGAAGATGTACCAGTTAAAACCAAAAAGGCACTGCCTTGATACCATCCGACCATACTACATGTATATGCGATATTTGGCAGTTCCTGGAATTGGCGGAGACTCTGGAATTGTTTCCCGGAAGCCTGACAAGATAAATGAGATTATGATCCCTCATAGTATAACTCTCTCATTGGTATTTGGTTCAACACTCACCGCATGCTTTATGGCAAAAAGAAAGGAGCCGTATCCGGCAGCTTTGAGAAGGGAAGGGTTTGGCATTTTGATGTCAAACGAGGACATAAGGGGTTTTAAGCTTGGGATCGAAAGTCAGGAGTGTCGGAATGTAAATAGTTGCGAGAAACCAACGAAACTGGAGAATAGAGGAGCGCCTACAATCAATCTTAAAATACTCTGGTCAACTTGAGCCTCGGCATATACTATCCGGCACAGCGTCGATCGTCATGGTTCAGCCGATCTGGAGGCAATAATTAGTAATGAATTTAGGTACAATCAAGCGGAAGGACGGACGAACAATTGGTCCGGCTCGTTGGCGGGAATTGCAAGGGTTACTGAAATTATGTAACCTCTGTCATTACTGGTCCCGGAAGCACCAAATCTCTATGGCTCGTGGGTCTACTATGGCCTTGGAAACCACACGGCCGCGACTAAGAAAATCCAAAACACAACCCCAAATGTCCATTTTCGAGATAAAGGCCGAACGAATCCAACAACATAGTCAACAGGGGCTTGAGAACAATTTTTATGTGTTTTGAGAGCTTCCACCGACTTGTCAGCACCACAATGGACGCAACCCAAAGTCTGGCTCTGCAGTATCATTTCAACCCGGCAAACAGCCCTTCTGGTGACTCGCGCCTGATTCGAGCTATCGTCTCATTACGAGTGGCTCTTGACAAATCCCGAGCCGAGGAATCCAGTGCAGAGCAGGAGTGGAAGCAGCAGTGGAAGGTCTCTTCTGTTCGGCAGTCTTCACTTCGATGGCTTTGACACTTTGAGAGCTTTGTGTCTTTGACCCTGTCAAGACCATTCAGCATAACCGGCTGAGCTGGGTTCAGGATGAAAGAGGACGGAGTGACCTGAGACCTACACGAAGTTCAACCTGCGACTTGTGCTTTTTGCACAACATCTGAAATTATAAGAGCAATATCAGAATTCATGCTATGTATTTTTCACATTAGCCAAAGCAGAAAGACAGTGCAGTTCACCATGCGATTGGCGTTGTAGGGATAAACTGACGACCTTTAAGAACTTTTGAACTCCGCGCGTAAGAACTGTTCCACCTTAGAAACAAAGTCGTCTTCACTGCTCTGAAGCACTCTTTTGACCGCTTCCGGAAGCAAGATCAACCGCCGATCCAAAGGTTGGGGGCGGGGTTCACACAAAGAAATCTGTAGGAGGGCCTTTTTCTTTAGCTGGGCTGTCATCTGGTCGAACTCGGACAGCGCTATCTTCACCAAATCTTGAATGCGACAAAGGCCTTTGGTGTCTCTGAAGCCAGCGATGCATTTCGAAAGTTTAATGGCTACGCGAAGCATCTTCAGGAGAGTTTTCCGATCGTGTGGAATGCGGTGCACAGCTGCGTGGCGAATGCTGGTAATCACGCGATGCCATCCTGTCAACGCGCTCAGAGTCAACTGAAAACATTCATCCTTGACTTTGTTTTGATGAGCTTTCAAGAATCGAAAGAACTTGTGTAACTCTAAAGCTTCTGGGCACGTCCATCCGGCCGCGAGAGAGTCCGACAGAAGCCATCGCTGAAGGAAGGCATGATTTTCGAGTTGTCGTTGTATGACCTGCAGGATCTGGTGTTGAGCGCGAAACGGAAAGTAGCCAACCGAAAACCCGGGCGATGAGCTTATTATTTCCATCACTCCTATCCAAGATGGTTAGCTAATACATATCCACTGCAGTTGTCAATACCTAGGTGTCCGACATACCATCATTTAGCAAATCATTCCGGGACATGGAGGTGATTGGAGCTGCGAATTTCAGCCCTTTGGTTATCAAACAAAGTTGCAAGTCAGTGAAACGACATAGAGCCAGCGAGCTGACAAGATTTCCTAAATATACACCGTTGTATGCATGTGAGGAACTTGTCGAATGAGCCACTGATAAAATTGAGGTGACTGTGTCAGTAGGTCGCATGAAATCCTCATGTTTTTGAGTGATAACATCATATTGCTGCGGGCTCATCAATGTAAATTGTGACTTCACAGCGGTCGGTAGCTCTCTCATACCGGAAACACCATTTGATCTGTTTCTTTGGATTACCAAGGATGCGCCGGATATATAACGGCGGATTGTTCCTCTTCTTTGCTTTGCGGTGCTTTCAACTTTTCTGTGCAAACAAGATGATTGCGCTGGGGATCTTCATTCTGAGCGTCCTGCTGGTTGCGATTCCAGTGGTATGGCCCTTGAACACGTGTAGGGCATTTAGAATATGTATAACCTTTTATCCCACGGGCAGAACATGTTGCCTGCCACCGAACCAAGGGTATAGAAGGTAAATTATGCTCAGTACCCGGTTTTGCAGGCACCTCTGGTACATATATATCTTTACTTTGATCTTTATCAACAATCACATCATCGCCACCACCTTCTAGACCCCCCAAGATGCCTTTCTGGGTAGTAAACTTGGCTTTGATAACTCGCTTTTGGTCTGTTTCTTGTTGGTAGCTTCTAATTTTAAACAGCGAGGCTGGAGAAAAATGTGGTGGTGGACTACTTTAATAGTCATGTTGTAGGTTTTCTCAATCTCCTTTTTTTGTTGGCAAAGAAAGAAAAGAAGAAGACTTTAAACCTTTTCTGATGAGAGATTGCGATTTTGTAAAATTTTGAGAGGGCCCAGAGAGTATTCGGTTCACTATGTATCGCTGCCGGAAAAGAGTGGTCTTCTCGGTGTTTTTTTCTGCGCGCTAGGTAGAAAATTGGCCATATCTCGTAACATAGGCAAAGTAAGAGTTGCACCTCTGGAGCCCATATTAAGTAGCCAATTCCCTATCGACTGCTCTTCAATTTGAGAGAAAATATGACCAGTTGGCCT